CACTTTTTCTGTATTGATGTTTCCCATTCGATAGTGTCCAATTTAGCAGAACTACGGTGCATGGCCATAGTTTTGGTTGTTCTTGCAATTCTCATCGAGACAACTGCAATGCATTTAAAAAAAAAAAAAAAAGGTAAATTTCAACGATGCTTTAAACTTGTAGTGAAAAACACTTGAAATTAGCCCGAAAAAGTGAGCCGAGAGCCCGAATTTATCCGTGATCGGTGCCATTGGGCGCGTTTGGTAAGAGAACCGAACGGTAAAACGAGTAGACAACGCACCCCCGCATCGACTCTGCCAATTGTTTTATTGTCCCCTTGCACAATAATCGTAAGCAATTTTGAAAATGGTACAAATTGGCATTTTTTTTTTATGTAATCGACGACGGAGGATAAAATTCGAACGAAACACCTTTTGAAAGAGACGGTAGTATAATATATGCGCGGGTGAAACGAGCGGAGGGAAGAGGGGAAGGGGCAAAAGAAGGCGTTCCGGTCTCTCTCCACGATATATATACGATGTGTACAGTTGGGTTCGGAGTCGGGCTCCGGGGGTATACGCTGTACGGTGCGCGGTGCGCTCAGTGCAAATCCGCCATGTTCCGCGCTATCTCCTCCTCCTCTTGATCCTCTTCCCCGAGTTTCGCCGTCGACGCCTTCGCCTCGAGTGGCCGCGCACGGGAGACACCCGTTGAACACAAGTTGACGCGCCCGTGACGATTGACGCTTTCGCGGTGCTCCAAAGTGCACGAACCCTCTGGACGACAGTGCGTTAACAATACACCAAGGACACGATAAGAAAGTTTATCCTCCGCCGGAGGTTCAACGGGCAGTGCCCGCGTATTTTACTTGCGATTAAAAAGAAAAGAAAGAAAAGGAAAAGAAAACAGGAGTGAGAGTTGCAGTTGCCATAGAGCGACAGTACACACACTCACCCCGCAGCTCTCGAAGGGGAGTCCTTTTAAACAAGGGGGTGGATAGAGAGAGAGAGAGCGAGTATACATAAAGTACAGTGGTGCGCGAGGTGAGGTGAGGTGAAAGGGGGTGGGGGGGGGATTATCAAGTTATTCTGGCGCGGCACATGGGTGTTGTCGACGGGGCTCGGCCGCCGACGATGCCCCGAAGATGCTGCTCGACGTAGAACCGCTCGACAGCCGCCTCTCCTCGGCCTCCAGCTTCCGCGACAAGAAGTTACCCAGCGGAAAACTTGATCTTCGTTTTATTCTTTTTTTCGTGCACGCCGCAGTATACTTGCTTGCCTTGGTGCAGTGAGCCCTGGGACGCCCGCGGTGTATTTATTATCTTTTCGAGAGTTGCTTCCTCTCTCTCTGGCTGTGTACATTTTACACTCGCTCGTATAATATTATATGTGTGTGTGTGTACGTAACGGTGGAAGGAAGAAGAAAAGAGGGACGAAGATATAAATACGACGGAGGAGGAAGAAAGGAAGAAGGAGAGAGAGAGAGGGAGGAAGAGTTGAAGAATACGCCGTAGAAGAGACAGGAGGACGTGGTTGTTCGGACTGAAGAATATACATATATCATATATATATATATTGTCTGTCCGTCTGTGGGTGCGTTGAGCACCGTATGTATACACGGGAGAAATGAAAGTGTCGGCGCCATATTGGCTCGGCGAGGAGTAGCGGGCGGCCCGCTCCTCGTCCTCGTGGTTCCGTCCTCGAGCCTCGCTGTCACGCGCGTCCTCCTTGATACACGAAATATATATATATACATACTCACCGCGAGACCGTGTTATATAGCCAAGGGTTGGAGCGTCTATTGCTCCCTGGAGGAGTTTCTCTCTCTTCCTCCACGGGCTGTTTACTTCTTGCTTGGCTCCTTTTTCCTTTCCTTTCCGTACTTTTCTCTCTCTTTCTCTCTCTAACCGAGAGACGGACGTGTACGTGCATAGTTTGTGGGTGCGCGTGTGTTTACATACACATATATGTGCGCGTGAGGAAAAGGAGGAGAGCCATGGAGGAGACCAAGATCATTTATCACATCGACGACGAGGAGACGCCGTACCTCGTCAAACTCGGCATATCGCCGGATCGGGTGACCCTTGCCGATTTCAAGAATGTCCTCAATCGGCCCAACTACAAGTACTTTTTCAAATCCATGGACGACGATTTTGGGTGAGTCCCCCCTTTTTTTTCCATCCCTTCCTTCGTTTGTTGCTTTTTTTTTTTGTTTTTTTTTTTTGTTTTTTTTTTCCTTCTCCCGTCGTTTATACTCGATTATCATTTAAGACAATAATAGGCCCATACGGGGGTTAAATGGGCAACGCGATTTTATCTCCTGGTTATCAGTGAACTCTTGTGCCTGTGCTTATACTCGACTGCAGGAAAATAATCGCACGCGCCGTCGTATACACGGAGTCGTGACAATGAAGTCGTTGTTGCCTGGCGAATGATAACCAACCACAGAGAGAGAGAGAGAGAGAGAGAGAGCCCTGTGAGGTGAATAATTACTGCTGTCGCTGCACTACCTCAGGCGCGGCTTTCAACGAACACGCGCAGGGAGAGGCTTGAATTGCGCCGAGGTTTTTATTAAATTCGGTTTTTTAAACATCCCCGGGGCGAGTGTTGTACATATTTTTATTCAAATGCTTTCTCTCTCGGTTCCTTTTTGTCCCGAAAATTTAAAAGGCCCGCGGGGGTTCTTTCCCCCTTCGGCCGAGATGCTCGTTAATTGCGGGCACTCGATTGCTTTTGTACGAGGAACAAATGCGTGGTTTTTCTTTTTTCTTTTTTTTTTTTAATTGTCGATTCGAGCCGTGAAAGGGAGCTTTTGTCGTAGAAATCGGCGTTTAATGAGTTTGAATGAAGTGTGCATACCTACAAAACGCGGAGTGGTCAGATGGTCAGTGACGGCCGAGTTAGCAGACGACGAGATTGCGAGCACATCGATATGATTTGTCCATTGTTACCCTATAAATCGGCTGTCGATTTGCTCGAAAAATTTTAAGGATCCACTGTACAATAAATAAATAAAGATCTCGCTTGTGTTCTGTCGTGCACGTGCGTGTGCTGTTTGTTGTCCCTCCTTTCTTGCTGGTACCTATGAATGATTGTTTTTTTTTTTCTTTGTCTTTAAATAGATAAGCGAGTTATGTGCCATTCGGGGAAAAAAAATCCTATCGAGCGTTGGTTTTAAAAATCCATTATTATACACTTTTCCAGAAGTGCCTGACTCACAAAAGTGCTTTTTAATGGGATGGGAATGAAATAATAAACACTGGTAACGAGGGGTTTGGATCATTATGACGCGTCGTGTGTCACCAGATAATTATGTTTTTCCTGCCTTGGAAGTTTTTGAGAGGCTGGTGTGTCCTCTGCAGGAAAAATAGGATATTCGCAACGTACGTGCCACTCACCGTGGCTACCTTACGTCCCTCGGGCCCTGTTTCGTAGGTCCCTCGGGCCGCAAAATAGCCCCGGAGATGATGGCACTTATCCGACGAAATCTACCATTGCAACTGCATACGTGCGGTCATTTGTTTTTGTTTTTTTCTCTTCGAGTTCCGAGACTAGTACGGCTGCATCTTGCCGCGAGTTGAAAAAGCTTGAGGGTTTTTTTCCAACGATCGCAGAAACGACTACGTCTGGTGTTGAATCAATCCCGAGACCAGACCGATGATTATCCAGCAAACCACTCGTCGGGAGTGCCATTGACTGCACCAAGCGAATCAATCAAGTGCAGCAAAATCCATTGGAATTTACGACCTTCTTTGGTTCTAGTTGTTATACAATGGGGGGAGAAAAATAAAGGGTCTCATGGTTTAATTAACCGCCTCTTGTTCCACTAAAATTTCCCGAGTCGATAGCGACAGATTATTCCCGAGTTCGACGGCGCACGGAGAAAATCATTACGTGTAGTCGAAAGAGCCTAGTTGCTCCGGTTTTCCGCTTCTATTTCCTCCTCGCGTTCGCACACCCACTCCGGAGTCACTTCGGTCTTGTTGCTCCCGAATCGAAACCAGAACAAATTAAAAACTCGCGCCACTACGGCACTATAGCCTAGATATTTTACTCGTTATGCACAACACCGTCATCCATACACGACACTTTGATGTGCGCGATTTTTCTGGAAAAAAAAAAAAATGAGGAAGGAGGGCCGGGGAAGAAAATACTCGCGGGACAGCGTTTTTCGCAACAAATGGGAACAAAAAAGATGTATACATATGACACCCGTAGTTTAAAGAGACAGCTCTTAAAAGCAAAAGGGGATGTAGGGGGAATAGGCGCATCATCATTTGGATATTTGTGTCAACGGGAAAATTCTTTAAAAGCGACCCGTCCCGTCGAAGAAGGGAAAAAATTGTATGGTTAAGCGCGGGCATTCTTTGCCAGGGGGTTTTTACAAAATTATTTTTTTCGACCCTTTTTTCGTTACGATGCACCGAATGCGTGCGCGCGGATGAGGGAAAAATACATCCAGGCTGTTGCAGTCGAGCACTTAACTTTGATCGAAAATACACTGCACTTGACGACGGAAACCCAACGTGTGCAGGCGTGGCCCAAATAAAGTCTGATTTCAGTAAAAGCCCTCCCGCAGCGAGTGTGAAAAAATAGACACATGGATGTGTGTGTTTATCTTCCTTTTTTTTTTTTTTTTTTTTTTTCTTTCACTTTAATCAAGAATGCTCTATAAGTCATACATCTGTATGGTTAATCTAAAATTATACTCCCACTAGCTTTACGGATAAAACTCGAGACGCAAACTGAGCGACAGAGGCGCTGTATTGTATGGAGGAAACCTCGCAGCAGAGGTATTGCACTTCGTGTACGTTTATGTTGAAAAATCTCTTTGAAAAGTAAATGATGTAGTTATCTAATTACTGTTTTTACAATACCACGTTTGAAACTGCTTAAAGTACCTCATTTGGTATTGTACTTGAGTACTTGCATGCACTTGTTTTTCGTCATCACCTCATTTACCAAACATTTGTGAAATTACAGTAGAGAGAAAAAAAAAAAAAAAAAAAAGAAAAAGTTACCTTGGTCGCGAAGGTGTCGTCGCACTCGGTGCAGTAGAGGCTCTCGTCCATCTGGTGTATGAGCATGTGCGCCTTCAAGCTAGCTACTCGGGCGAACTTTTTGCCGCACTCGGGGCACTTGGGCTCGCCGGCGTTGTGCGTCGCCATGTGCAGGGTGAAGTTTGTCTATACGAATGATCAATTATTTTTGGGCTTCGATCAGGAAAATTTCTAGGATACGCGGAATCACCCACAAATATACATGTGCACCAGATCCAGCGTTGGACAGGTACATTGTATACGTTGGTATTATATATAATGGAAAATTTTAAACTCGTTGGATGGAAGAAATATTTACTCACTGGTACGTTAAATGTTGCGGGGCATTTTGGACAATGGTGAGGTTTGTTTTTTGCATGGTCATGCAGGTGTTTTCGCAGTAGGTACTGCTTTTTGAACTCTTGGCCACACACGTCACACTTAAAACACGGTTTCTGTCGAAAAAGGTACTTTTTTTTTTTTTTTTTTTTTAACTTTTTCAATGTTAACTGTAAAATCACATTACTACAGGCATTGAGAACTTTTTTTTTTTTTCCACATATTAGTAGTGGCAACATATTTCTATAAAACGTCTAGTGGTTAAATTAACGTGCTAAAAATCATAAAGCAATCAAAACNTTTTTTTTTTTTTTTTTTTTTTTTTTACTTTCTCTCGCCAAAGCGCGTGATAAAATAAATGATTCGCGCGCCGCCTGTGTTTTTTTTTTCTCGCCCCGTACCGATTTGTCGACCGGCAGAGATTCCGGGAGTTATACATATCTTCGACGTGGGTAAATGTATATGTTGTATACCTACTACGTGCCGGTGGTGTATAAGAAGCTGTATAGCGCGAGAAAGGCGTCGAGGAATCCATCGATAGTCTAAATTTACATGCTTTCACGGACGCGCGTGCAAGTATACGTGCCTGTTTCGGCAGTCGCGTCGTTAATTATTCAATCCTCCGCTCGGCTACTGCGATTGTGTATAGAGTATGCAGAAGGAAGGAAAAAACGTGTTGCTTTTTTTGGAAGATGCTCGGTTTTAATCAGCCATACAATGATAATGGTGTTTATTTGATTTTTTTATGACGTGAACAACGTTGGGATGAAATCAAGTATAGTTTATTTCATCAAAAAAAGAGTCTTTTAAGGAAATCCACAGAGTGCAGTGGTGTAAAACAACAAAACAAAGGTATCCTCGAAAGCACGACGTGTACACTTTTGAGATGGATAATAAAAAAAGGGAGGGGGTTTTAATATCAACCCTGCGGTATTTTTTTTCCCCGTACTTTGTAAAAAGTTTCATAAAATGGTTGAACCTTGTCTTTCAATGTTTTTTCGTCAGTACTTTTCATCGAAACGACTCTCTCCCTCGAGCGAAAGTTTATAGTACATGCAAAACAAAAGATTTATCCAAGTTGCTCTTTTGGAGCTTCAGAAATAATAATAGAAAGTAAAAAAAAAAAAAAAAAACCAATTGTACGCGCAATTTATACATAAAAAAAAAAACATAGGAATGGACGATGCCTTTATACATTATATTTTCCTACGTGAACTGTGCTTTCGGGATAGCTATAAATTATCACCATCAGGGACCTCATCTTCTTAGAGTGCCTACCTACAGTAAAAAAAATGATACTCATACGTGGTTGTAAAAAATGGGAGATCCTTCCAGTCGTAAAAATGAAAAAAACGATCTTGCGTATTCCAAGAATAGGTGACTCAGTACTGCCATACAGTCAACACTCCATTTACAAGGAAAATTAAGAAAAAAAAAAAAATCATCATACACATTTTTATTCTGCTGCAAAACAACTAATAATAATAATGAGAGCTCGAGCAGTACATGGTTAAGCGAAGCGAAAAAAAGGACAAAAAAAAAGCAGGCAAAGGTGCCAATTACTCGTCACACCATCATCAGCAAAACAGTCGCAATTTGCAAAAAAAAAAAAAAAAAGAAAAGAAAAAGAAAAAAAATTCGCTTATCCGCACTGACTCGATCGCTCCCGTCCTTGTATACCCGTATGTATATACATAGACACCCAACTACCCCTCGTCTTTTCAGTCATCTCTCGCTGTTCTTCCCCCTTCCCCCCTCCTGACACGAACTCACCCTCCATCGTCGCACCACCCACAAATACAACAAACCACCCGGAAGTCTTTACGTACAGCAAAAAAAAAAAAGAAAAAAAGAAAAAAAGGGGAATACAAAATAAAATCCTCCTTTCACGTCGGGTTAACATTAATTCTTTTTCTTTCTTTTTTTTCCCTTAATAAAGTCAGTTTCGCTCGCTCCCGCCGTCAACTCCCATTATCTTATCGGCCAACAAAAAACGTCCTCCTCCTATTTTAATTTTCTTCCGAACGACAATGGTCCACAGGACGAGATATACACACAAGCCCGACAGACCCTTCCGCTTCCTCTGCCGCATCCATCGTCTTTCTTTTTTTTTTTTTTTTTTTTTCTTCGCCGAGGGTGAACGGACACCAGAAAAAAAAAATGTATACATACATCCATGCACACACCCGCGAACCGTACAACATCTCGGTGTTTCCCTCTCTCACTTCCGAGCTCCTTTTCTTTTTTCCTCCGCGACGCGCGTGCCGTTTGAGCTTGCACCAGCGCCATGTATATACCTACGAGGCGCCCAAGTGCGTTTTGTACACACTGCATATATATACGCCCGGGCGCGGAGCTTTTCTTCCCTCGCTCGCTCTCCCCACGCAATTTCTCTCCCTTTTTTCTGTAACTTCTTTTCCTCGATGACACGCACACGCGAGCCAGCCTCAAGTGTGTTTGTGTACGCCGTTTTATACATGTACGTGCGTATACCTACGTACACATGTACATGCGAGCGCAAAAGAGAGCGAGAGAGCGGCATCAGATGCCAAAGTCGATAGGCCTGCCACGGCTTCCTTTTGATCTCCGCTGTTTCTCTTTCCTTCCTTTTTTTTTTTTTTTTTTTTTTTTTTTCTCTTATCATCCCCGCCTGTGTGCTTCTTCCTGCGTACACACACTGCACTTGTAATATATATATATACTTACGCAGCATCTTCTCTTTTTCGGGCGAGGAGGAGGCTCGAGAGATGGGCGAAAAACACTTTGACCCTTTCGGCTTTTGTCCCTCCCGCGACTACATGTGCTACTTGTGTACAACTCCGGAAAGAGCAACAATGTATATATATATATATTACGCGCGCAGAGATCCATATATACGGGGAGGAAATCGCGGGGGGCACCGGGAGAGCCCTGTTTTTTTTTTTGTTTTTTTTATTCGAGTGTTTTCCGTGTGCTCGCGTCCGTTGAATTTTAATGTTTTAACGAGCGAAAGGAAGAAAAATCGGCGCCGTCCTTAATATACTCATTTCCGTGTTATTATGTACCTATATACATGGGTTTGTTTGCGAACATTTAATGGCCTTTCAACGTGAGATGAAGTAAAACCCATATAATCAAATACGGAGTTAAACAATTATGTGTTTTTTTTTTTTTTGTTTTTTTTTGTTGTAGATTTACGTAACAAATGAAATAAACACACGCACGAGTGAATATACACACGTTATACTTTGATTCAGATAATCTTAAAAAGTAACAAGCCATCACCCGCGCGAACAGATCGATTTCTTTTTTCGGTGATTTCACGCGTTGCACATTGCAATAGTGCGTATGTAAATGTGGACTCACAAATGTAATTTCTCTCTCTCTCTCTCTATATGTATATTCAGACACGACATAGCGACCGCAGAGCCGATGGTGCGCGCGTACTTGCACAGCTTTTGTTTCCCCGTGCACAATGCCCCCCCCCCTCTCCGGGTAGGGAAAGGGCTGGTGTAATGGTTGCGGTGGTGCGAAGAGAGAAAGTCGTCGAATTCGCGGGTGCGCGGCTCTTTGCGCCCTTATTAATGCAAAGCGAGAGGAAGTGGAGAGAAATATGTAACTTTGTCCTTGTCTGTCCCTCTCCGTACGTACCTGTATATACATATATATATATGGACACACGCGCGTATGCGTGAATGGGCGCGCAAAGGGAAAGGGAGGAAAAAATAAAATTTGTGCGCCCCACCCCACATTCACCCTCTCTACTCTCTCATCTTTTTTTTGCCCGATGTCCTTGCACACACGGACTTGCACATTGTACGGGAATAATTTCCTTTTTTTTTTTGGTTTTCTTTTTCACTCCTTTCCGTCGCGTAAATCGAATCGAGTCTTTTTGATCAAGCGCAACTTCATGATGTACACGTCAGCTCCTTTTTGCCTTTGCTCTCCTTCTTTTGCTCGCTGAAGATGATTTCACCCCTCCCTCTTTCGAGAACTGCCCTTTGGAAAATTATCATCGCAAGGGGTCCCCCCCCCCCTCGTGTACACTTTTGTCCAAACGATCGTCTTACTTGTAAATGTAGACGTGAACTCTCTGTGCTGCGATACGGAAAAAAAAAAAAAAAGATGAGTTTCGCGTTTGTTATCGTGTCGCCGCTACCCCGGGGCTATATGTGTGTATAGGAGAGAGAATTTCGTTCGGCAGGTCTTGTCCGAAGGACTAACAATCAGAAAGAAAAAAAAAAAACTAGTAAAAATTACCGTGCTGGAATGGTATATAATCTGGTACTGCTCCATCTGGAAACTCTTTACCGTTTGAAGAATAATTTTTATTATTCGACGTCGGACCAACATCAGATTATACCATTTTTTTTTTTTTTCTTTCTCTTTCTCAGTGGATCGATTTTACGTTTCGCCAGGCACAACGGCTCGGGCAGTTTTTTGCGGTATATCATTTTCAAAAATACGTACACACATATATACGCTCTTGTACGTGTTCTTTGATCTCCAGTACATTATTTATACATGAACGGGGGGGGGGATGATTAGGTACGTCGAAGAAGCGCATCGGATCGAGTCGATCGTACTTAGAGAGAGATGTATCACTTTTCATCCCCTCCCCAGTACATGTAGGTATATCTCCTTCCCTTTTTGTCTTCCAATAAATAATTGTTGTATTTGCATCGCGATCAAAGTATAGCCACAGTAAAGCAATAGACGGATCAAAGTCACGGAGAAAAAAAAAAAAACAAAGAAGAAAAAACGTGGTATTGCTTGCCAAGCGCACTGTAATCCTCGAAAATGTATCCTTTTCAGGGTCGTCAAGGAGGAAATCATCGACGACGACGCGCACCTCCCCTGCTTCAACGGCCGAGTGGTGTCCTGGGTAAGCATCGTCATCCAGCGTAAAAATATTATCCACAATGTATGTCTAAAACGCGCGTGAAAAAAAACCAGCTCGTCTCGGCGGAGGGCAGCAACGTGTCGGACGGGGCGTCCCAGTGCACGGACACGATACCGCACCAGGACGTCAAGCACGTGGACAGGGTGGCCGTGATGGACCACGTGACCCCGGGACACACGACGAGCATGACGACGACGACGACGACGAGCAGGCCGCCCCTGCCGATCGGCCACGATGACACCATGACCGAGACCGAGAGCATCATCAGCAGCCGGCAGGGGGGCCACCACCTTCACAAATCCTCGCGACACCACACGGACAAGTACGAAAAGTACAAGTACAACGGTACGTCGGCAGAAATATACGTTAACATGTACCCTCGAGGATGGGGGGGGGGAAGGTCGCTTGTTCAAAGGGGGTCTATTGAAAATCGTTGCTCGCGTTGATTGCAGGGCTGCGCATAAACGGCCACTCGAAGCATCGGTCCGGCCTCGGCTACGAGTCAGCCTCGATACTCAGCTCCGACTTGGAGACGACGACGTTCCTTGAGTCGGACGACGACGCGAGCAGCCGCATCACCTCGACGACCGGTAGGCACACCAACATGAGCAGTGCCGTCGACAGGGTGACGATGGGTACGTCGGGGACACCTTCAACCATTAATTTAGTATTTAAAAAAAAAAAAAATAACAATTTTACGTCATTGTGTTCCCGCCACGTGTGTTTAGACCGGCGTAGGCCTCAGAGACGTAGGCGCCACAGGTTGCCACCAATGTCGAGGACGTCCTCGTTCAGCAGTATTACGGACAGCACGATGTCCCTAAACATAATCACGGTCTCCTTGAACATGGACACGGTCAATTTCCTCGGCATCAGCATCGTCGGCCAGAGCAACAAGGGCGGCGACGGCGGCATCTACGTTGGTTCGATCATGAAGGGGTGAGGCTTTTTTTTCTTCTCTTCTTTTTTTTTTTTCCTCGACCAAGGGTCACAGTATAGGTAATGGCAAATGGACTTTTTTTTTGTTTCTTTTCTCAACAAACAGTGGCGCGGTTGCCTTGGACGGTCGCATAGAGCCGGGCGACATGATCCTCCAAGTGAACGACATCAATTTCGAGAACATGTCGAACGACGAGGCGGTCCGCGTGCTACGCGAAGTCGTGCAAAAGCCCGGGTGAGCACAATTACTCCCATCAACCATCATCTCTTCTTTCAATAGCGAGTACAAACTAGTGACCAAGTTTTTTTTTTTTTTTGTTTTTTTTTTTCCATCTTTTTTTTCTCGTTGCGACGCAAAAACAGGCCGATAAAATTGGTGGTGGCCAAGTGCTGGGACCCCAACCCGAAGGGCTACTTCACGATCCCGCGGACGGAGCCGGTGCGGCCGATCGACCCTGGCGCCTGGGTCGCCCACACTGCGGCTATCCGAGGCGAGGGCTTTCCACCCCGGCCGCCCAGCGCCACGACCATCACCTCGACGTCCAGCAGCCTGGCCAGTACATTACCGGACAACGAGTGTGAGTTGTGTGTTTTTTTTTTCTGCCCCACCAGCTCGTACATTTGACCTGATGGATGGTGAGAGACCATCAGGTCGGGCACGTGCTGGTATACCTGTGTGCATCAGTTAAGGACCAGGTGTATTACTGATGGAGTAGTGTTGAACTTGTTCTCAGGGCCGTTCGACGAGCTGGATCTGTCTGTCAACACCGACATGGCTACGATTGTGCGAGCGATGGCCCGGCCGGACTCGGGCCTCGAGATACGCGACCGCATGTGGCTCAAGATCACCATACCCAACGCCTTCATCGGCGCGGACGTCGTCGATTGGCTGCACACGCACGTCAAGGGCTTTATCGACAGGTCGGTGTTTGTTCGCGCGTTTGCTGAACACACATTATTGCGATTCAAAGTTTTTCATGTGTATATCCATTCAATTTTGTGGGGCAATAGGCGGGACGCGCGCAAGTACGCCTCCCTGATGCTGAAGGCGGGATTTATCAGGCACACGGTCAACAAAATCACCTTTTCCGAGCAGTGCTACTACATATTTGGGGACCTGTGCTCGGCGATGAGCAACATGAAGCTTGACTGCGACACTGTCGGCCCACTGCCGCCGCCCAGCGCCTGGGACATGCCTTACTCGGGGACTTACGCGCCCCACGCGGCCACGGGCTACAGTCCCATGCCCTTCAACTTTACGAACGAGCCCACGGTCTACGGCTACCACCGCGACGACAGCCTGCACAGCGGCTCAGGTATCTTGGCTGATTCTTCCGATCGCTTGATCACTTAGACGCTTCATATGTGTATTTTTTTTTTTTATTCTGCCTCATCCTCGCACTTGCACCGGCTTATTTTTTTATTTTTATTTTATTTTTTTTTTTAGATGCGCACTTGATTAAACACCACAATTGATGAAAGTCGATTTTGGGGGTTTGCCTGGATATGCTTGTNTTTTTTTAACGTTACTTTAAAGAAGAAAAAATTCGAGAATGACGATAAGTAATTACACATATTTTTTATTTTATTTTATTTTATTTTTTTTTTTAGATGCGCACTTGATTAAACACCACAATTGATGAAAGTCGATTTTGGGGGTTTGCCTGGATATGCTTGTTGATTAATTTGTAAACGCACCTTTATTGTTTTCCCGGCTGTTTTGTTTTTCTTTTCAGCTGACCTGCGTTTTTTGTACAAGTACAAATTTGTGATGTGTATAATTCCTAAGTGTAATGTATATTGTGTAGATTAATAAATGAATGTTCTTTTTTAGTTGGTGCGATTTTTGTTTTTTTTTTTTATTTTTTTTAGTCTCAACTTTGACACGAAGTTGTACGCTTTTAATGTAATTAATTACCTGTCGAATCATGAGATCTTTTTTTTTTTTTTTTTTCGTTCATTCTATGTGTATGTAATGCACATGTAAGCTGTATCCAACAAAAATTACAACAGATGAAATCACGTAGTTTTAGAGATCGGCCCTTTTCAGGGCCAACATTTTTATTTTATTTTTATTTTTACTTGCCGACGAAAATAAAAAGTTTTTCTTCCTCAAATGAAAAAAACACGTTTATTGGTTGCTCACCTGCCTGTAGAAAAGTACTTACCCAACATCACTACTATTATTATTATTATTATTATTGTTGTTGTCTTTTTGTAGTTTGTGAATAACAATGAAATATAAAATAACATGTGAAAAAACAATCCATCTTTCGCTACGCAAATTGCTTGCCTGATGCTTTTGTTTCTCGTCCATTACTAATGAAAAATGTTTCCTCTGAAAGTTGAAAAAAATCTCGCTGCTTCTCTTAGTCATTGCTTTTTAACAAAGCCACAGCTCTGCCGACTAATTGCTTTGAAAGAAAAGAAGAAAAATGAAAAAAAGAAAAAAAAATCAAGGCGGAATCAATAACCCAACGAAACAAATAAACTGCATTAATCTTAGGGGTATCTTCTTTCAAGTGGAAGTCGGGGGTTGCTGAAGGGTCCGCCCTGCTGTGTCGTGTAGCTGTAGCAAAAAAAAAAAAAAAAAAAAAAAGTAGTTCGTGAGGCATATTATATAGACGCACGCACGATGTCAAAAAAAAAAATGGAAGAAGGGCTGCTGTGTAGTTATACACCAAAGTACATAAAAAAAAAAAAAAGGCAATGGGTAGTACTGGCTTCACGTGCACCGCTTCCTAACATAAATGTATACTTATATGAGCTATACGGTAAAACGTAACTGACGGCGATTAACGTCACAACCACACATATGGCGAAATTTGTTTGTTTGTTTTTGTTTTGCGTTGTTATACATTGTAGGAGGAAGCAGCGATGCTAAAACTATCAAGGCTTATCCCGGCGCGACTACGGCGACGACGACCACTACAACTGCCGGTGGCGCGGCTGCTACTGTTGTTGTTGCTGCCGCGGATGATGATGATGACGATGATGATGTAAACCTGTCTTCTTCTTGTTATTCTGAACCAGAGCTGCAGATGCCGGTGCTGACGGGCATGCCCAAGAGCACGGCTACGACGATAACGACGGGCGGAGGCAGCAACAACGGCAGCGGCTCCAACAGCAAGCGCTCCAACGGCAGCCGTAGCCGCAGCAGTGGCTCCGAGCAATCGGTCCAGACTGGAACGGGATCCGGAGGCGGTGGTGGTGGTGGTGGGAGCAACACCGGCAGCGGAGGCCCCGGACAGCAACAGCAGCAAGACCTATCCGGTAGTAGACAGTCATTTCGCATCGCGATGGGCAATCCCTGTGAATTCTTTGTCGATGTCATGTAGACGTTGCTGGTGTTGTTGTTGTCGTTTGGCCCTCAAGTCCCGAGCCCAATGCCTCACGAGGTTCGGCTTCCAACGCGCGGACGACAATCTACCCTTGACGCAGTTCGAAGCTATGTCAATCGTCGATTGATTACCGTTGCACGCCCTTCCCCCCCTCCCCCACTCACACGCACATTTTACCGTGTCGTTGGCCTCGTAGTTCTATTGCGTGATGCACTCGATCACCCGATTTTGGGGATTTGCCGTTACCGAACTTTCTCTCTCCTCCCTTGTGTATGTGTATTTAAATATCTTTTTTTTCTTCTTTTTTTTCTTTTTCCCCATCGTTTCTGGATGAGTTGTATCTTTGGCACAGAGCATCGGTGCTGTGAAAAAATAATTAAAAAATTTCTCAATGCCGCGAAGAGTCGGATATCAAAAAAAGTAAAGTAAAACAAAAAGAGAGAGAGAAAGATCAATGCAAATGTCCAATCGGTTGGTGGTTAAAGCACGGCCTCTCTGTAGCGTTTCCTCGGATCGGTAGACTTGTGCATTATGTATTCCTCCCTGTTTTGTTCATGCATAAACTAGTATGCGGCATTTTGAAATTTCGACTCCAACTAGTCTACATCTCTTATCATTTCTGAGGCAGCGCGCGGTCGATCACAAAAGCCGGATCGCGCCGTTTCCTCTTTGAAATAAAAAAAAAAAGTATTTCTTTACGATGCATGCCCGCTTTCTTCATTCGCCTTTTTACCGAGTAATTAGTTCGAAATGCTGCGCCTCGGCTGACAGTAAGTACATCTCGAGAGTACCTTTTTTTCTCTTTCCTTTTGCATGTGTCGAACGATCGTTTGTTACATTTACAGGCCCAAGTGCGCTCCTACCGTAGTTAGATTGTCTTTGGAAATAAATTACCTTCTGCCTTTGCTTTGTAACTCGTGATTTCTTAGGAGTCTGCCGAGGACTTTCAAGGGGCTCGATTTTCATACAACACTTTGTTTACCCTCCGAATGTAGTTTTATGCACACGTACAACATATATATATATATATGTCAAAGTACAAATTCAAATATTTGCCAACCAACGAGGTGCTTACATTTATTTTTTATTTTACTTCAATGGCGTGAGTCGCAATATTTTTGTCATTAAAATCAAACGCGACGTCACGAGTAGAATCGAGCCCCTTCATCTATTTTTCAAGTATTTCTTAAATCCTGTTTTTTTCGATGTCGAAGCTGTCGCATATTGCGTAATGTTATTAGCAATTTTAAGCAAAACAAAAATACATATTTCAATGCATTATACGTATTATATTATCGTAAAACACAAGCACGCGCGCATAAGCATGTTCTTCTTTCATCTGTAAATAACACCTCATATTTACGCTGCCTACTTTTGCCGTTTATGCAAACTTGTCGAAGATCTTTAAAAATATTCTCTTGTTTTTGGAAAAAAAAAAAAAAAAAAAAAAAATATCGCATGCTCCTCTTTACACGTATCATGTAAAGGAAGTATATACATATCTGACTCTCTTCTATTTTTTATGGTATATACAGTATCATATTTTGATTTAGAGACTATAATATTCCATATTTTTAAAATAATCGCCCTTCGTATATATATATATCATTTATCGAGGATCATCAAAATAATTAATTCTCCTTCGTTTAATTGTCCGTTTTAGGATTGTCCACGACAATGGGGCAGCTATTTCTTTAAATAAAAAAAAAAA